ATCGGTTGGCTATAGAGTGATGGTCTTCCCATTCTTTTCCCACTTTGATCTACAGAATCAAATTGCTCCATGACAACTTGTGGTGTGTTTTGTGCTAGACCTCTATATGGAATTTGAATAGGCTTTTCCAACACTGCGCTCCTGATTATTATGGAACATATTTCTGATTTTGCTCCCGATGACTTGTCCGCCTTGACAATGAAGTGGTCAATCAAATCTTCTAAAAGCTGGTCTGTTCCTTCAGGAGCATCTTCAACATTTGTAACAGTGAAAACATTTCTTAAATATTAAAAAATAATTCGATTTTTTAAAACCTGAAAACTCCTATTTTGAATCTAGTGCTGTTAATAGTCTCTGATGCCTCTTCTTTGTAAAAGTGATTAATAGAATATTCTCCAAACTTTTTAGAATATTCCATCTAAACACTAAATTAAAAATTTTTTTAAATTATTAGGTAAAAATTATAAATAACATATTAGCGCAAAAAAAGAAAATAAGATTAATTGTTTATTCTTCGGAAAATTGATATTAAAATACTTTTAGCCTTTAATCTGTTTTTTCGGTAATTTTAGGTACAACTTGTTCTTCAAAACATTCTTCAGTTTGTACTTCTTTGTCTTCTTTGTTGGGTTGGACCGTAATTAAAGAATCAATGTGCTCTCTCATAAAAATTATTGGCGAATCTGAATTTTTAAAAATTGATATATAGGGTTGTAGGCTAACCTTCTCTCGCGATTGGTCCGTGAATGCTCGCATGTTTATTGAAAATTTTGATTGCCATCTCTAAATCTATCTTCGACCAGAATTTGCTAAATGGATTATGAAGCTCAAGATATAACTCCTCTTTTACAACCTCAGTAATTGCCTAAATTTGTTTTATAAGTTTATAAATAAAAAATTTACAATTTTTGCTAAAGCATTTCTCTCTCTAAGTATATGTTCATGCACTTGACTCTTGGAAAGTGGATAACGTTGTTCATGAAATTGCATGAAAGTTTCATATAGTTCATTCTTCAGCATATTGTCATCTTCGTGCACGTACTCCAAAGTATTTAGTTGACGGGAGAATCGAATGACGCTTTCCTTGAGACCATCAATTGCTTGCTCGTACATTTCTTGATCCATCTTAAATTAAAAATATTCTAAACTATTAATTAGAATAGCACCTTTAAGTCAGATAAAATATAGCTTGCTTAAATTGATCTTGATTTAAAAAATTGATTAAATATTTTAAAGATATTATAAATCGAATTAACGATTTTGCAGTAAATTCATTAAAAAAATTTTTACTCAAAAATTATTTAATATAAAAGATTAATGATATTTTAATAGTTGTCTATTTTCTAGTTTTTGTTGACATTATTGTAAGTCTTTTGTTGGTACTCGATGTTGGCCGGCGAACAAACGGTGCAAACCTTAATTACGATAATTGGTTTACTTAAAATTAAAAATACCAAGAAACTAAGCTCGAATTTATCAGCACTTTTCTGAAGAAATAGGTCACTTGCCATTTTCTTTGTAAGTTCTGAACACTGTGAACACTAAAAAGAAAAATTTAAATATTTTAGAACAATATACCTGATGAAGAATCCAGCAATACTTCATAAGGTTTAACAATTTTTTATCTTTTCCTTTTATAATGCCAGCACCACGACAAAATTTCAAAACTTTCTCATCTTGAAATATAATTATTTCAATATTCATTTAAATAATTTTACCATTATCAAATTTTGACGATTGCGAACCTGATAGCAAATATTTTGAAGAGTTGCCTGAAAATTCGATAAACATAATTAATTAATTTTTACCAAAATATCAATTGTAGTGCATTTCTAAAGAAATATTCTTATCCAAATCTTCTGCGCACAATTCTAAGGTCAAGATAGACAATCCTGCATGTCCGATTTTAAAGAGAAAATATTCCCTTTTCTTCTGGTGGTTGCGGCAAGACTCACACATATATATGAATATACCACTGCGAGGATTCTTAAGAATTTGGGCTCGGCTAAGTAGCGCTTCAGGCACAACAAATTTTTTTCGTAGTTTTCCTAAGATTTGTTTATTAAATAAAAAGATTTAAAAATTACGATCAAGTCACATTTTCTTATACTCATCTTCGTTTTCTCCTAAATCAACTTCTTCGTCTGAGTCGGGATCAGTTGACTCATCTTCATCCTCTTCCATTTGATAATTAAGGATCGCCTGATGCAGCTCTTCTTCATCTTGTTTTTCTTTTTCTGAAGGTCCATTTGCTTTTTCAACAATAGACTTTAATTTAAAAAATATTAGTAATCTATAATTTACATACCTTAATAACAGGATCAAAAATATTTTTTGCTCGTCAGTTTTTTTCTCTGATGTTTTAGCTTTTTTGGGCGTCGGCGTTTTGTTTGATGACGAAGAACTCGTCTTCGTCACGGAACGTCTTCTTCTAGCTTCTGCGGCATCTTTCTTCTTTCTTTGGGCCTTAATAAATTCTCTCACTTCTTCCATCTCTTCTGCAGTTATAGCAGCTGAAAAAATAAAATGAATTTTGTTATGACTCAAACCTTCAACAACTGCGTTCTTTTGGTTATCGATTGATTTAGTTTCTGAAAACAAATTTTATATTTACATGCTAGGCAGATAACTCACCATTATCACGTGATGAATCATCATCGAGCAAGATTGGGTCATCTAATTAAAAATTATTAATTATATAATTTAATTACCTTTTTTAGTAGCAGCTTTCGAATTTGTATTCATTTTTGGTTGTTAATAATGATGATTAATAAATTTGAATTGTAATCAAAGCTTTTAATTTGAAGAATTTTTTAAATTATTTAAAATAAAGGTGGATTTTTCGTTAAGACTTTAATCTAAACAATAATGGATTTTACTAAATTGCATTAAATGTAAGTAAAAAAATAACGGGACAGTAATTTAAAAAATAAATTATATGGACTTTAATTAAGGGAACATTAATTTATGCAAAAATCAATAAATTAAAAAGATTAATTTAATTAACAAATACAAAAAGAGGAATTAAATTTAAGTAAAACTTGAATTAATAAAATTAAGTGGTAATTTTATTCTAAAAATAAATTAATAAAATTAAGGGGACTTTAATTGTGGGGACATTAATTTAATTAGTATAAATTGAAAGGTAAATTCGCGAGAGGAACAAGTAAATGAAGAAATATTTAAAGGACTGAAGTAAATGATTTTAGTTGCAGGATTGAGCTACTTTTATATTCGCCAGAAAATGGTTGTTACTAATGCAATTTGCATGTTTGTGCAATAAAAAACTCGTTTTTAGATGTAATATAGTTATTTTCAGAATTATATTTCACAATATCTATTGTCATTTTTTAAGAGTACTTAACAATTTTTCTGAAAATCTATTGTCATTTTTTAAGAGTACTTAACAATTTTTTTGGAAATCTATTGTCATTTTTGTGTAGAAAATAAGTAAACATTTCCATTTTTTAATATTTTTGTGTTGGCGCATATCTTTTGTTGCATGTTGTTACTTTGTCATTGTGTTGGCGCAAATCTTTAGTTGCATGTTGTTACTTTGTCATTGTGTTGGCGCAAATCTTTTGTTGCATGTTGTTACTTTGTCATTGTGTTGGCGCAAATCTTTTGTTGCATGTTGTACTTTGTCAAACATTTGTTTACACTTTTTAGTAAAAATTGAAAGATATTCTCAAGATTTTCTATTTGTGGCTTTAAGTACCTTACACAAATAGTAAGGTAAAAATGAGTAATTACCTTACTCGTTTTTTATAGTGGAATTTGTGCGTATAAAAGCACGGAATTTTTTAATCTCATTTTATTTTATCTTATTTTATACTTTACTAGTACGCTCACATTTCACCAATATCGCGAAACCCGGTATTTTTTATAAAAGTGAATACCGTAATTTATAAAGCAGCTGGGCTAAAGCTATTTTCTCCTTTGGCTAGTGCAAAAGGTTATTCGGCGGCTGGGAGTGAACCAGCATATTCAGTGGACCGTACCGATGTGTTAGCCATTACACCACGCCTCCTACTACATAGCCTTAGGAATTAAATAGCTATATGCTTTATAATATGGCATTTTTTTAATTCAATAAAAATCCGGACCCTCGTAATTACCAGTAAAATAATAGAAAATTAAGTTTTGTAAATTTTCTTGTTTTTCTTAGAGGTTAACTAATTATTAATAAACTAATTAAATTGCCAACAAAAAGGCTGCTTTAAAAATAATATTAGTTTTAAAAATTAATTGCATTTTAAAAAAATGTTTTTAGAATTATTTAAAAAATGTTTTGAAAACGACCAGGGGGGATAGCTACTACTTGAAGAAAATTTAAAAAATGTGTTGGGTTGATGGGGATTTATGTACTGTGGGACGAATTGGGGGTTTATGTACAGTGGTACGAATTGATGGTTTATGTACAGTGGGACGAATTGGGGGGTTTATGTACAGTGGGACGAATTGGGGGGTTTATGTACAGTGGGACGAATTGGGGGTTTATGTACAGTGGGACGAATTGGGGGTTTATGTACAGTGGGACGAATTGGGGGGTTTATGTACAGTGAAATGTTTATCTGTTTGAAAAGTTCAATTAGTCAAACAATGAGATTATTAAAATTATATTAAACAACTCAAATAATTTTTTAAATTTATTTGAAGTGGAAAGCGATCGTCGAAGAGAAAATAATTATAGCGGACTTGAAATTATTAATTTAATATAATTTAGATGCATTTATAGTTATAAATTTTTTTACTTTTTTTACTGCCTTAATATATTTTATTTATAGAATAAACTAAAATATTTTGTATTAAGTGAATTTTTTACAAAACACAATCAAAAAAAAGGAAAGAAATATTATTGACTTTTAATTAAAACAAACATTTGAAAAAAGCTTCACAGAGACAATTATTTATTTCTTTAGTATCAATATTAAATATAGTAATCTACTTCTATTAATTATTATGAGCTATTAATTTTAATAAACTAAATTATTATATTTTCTAATTATTTATCAAACAATTTTATTTTATTCTCGATTACTCAATTACTTTCACAGGCCCCCAGTGGACTTTCACATTTTTTCACTTTTGGCACTTTTTTCTATGGGAACCTTGTCCATTTTCGCCCATTTTTTGTTCACCCTTGTAATGTGGTAGTTCCTCACATAGTCATAGTACATTTTTTGCATTTCCTTTACTACCTTAAAATTAAAAGACAAATCATCCGATCAAGGGTACGTCTACACAAATCATATTCATTATAAAAATCCAACCTCTATACTCGGTTTATAGCCTTCGGGCACATCGCGGGCATTCAAAGGGAAGCACCGCTTTATATTTTCCTGAATTTTTATCAAATTTTACTATAAAAATTAAAATTATTACTTTTATTTGATCCCAGAATCTACAGCGCGAGTCTATTGGCGCAAGTTTTTTTCCGTGGAAATCTATACTATGTTTTATTACCACCTGCCTTTTATTGGAACCCTTTAAAATTAAAGAAAATTTATTTTAAAATGACAAATCATCCGATCAAGGACTATACCACATCATAAAGTTTGCAGCTCCAAACACATTCCTCAAGATGTTCATAGCTGTGGTACAAAGTTGTTGGACAACACTTTTCTACATACCCTACACGTAACCAGTTCGGCTTTCATCACATTCAAGAGAATAAATGAATATAAAATTATATTAGCTAAAAATTCAAATAAAACGTTTAAATTTTGATAAAATAAAAATTAATTAAAAAAAGCATATCTTCCTATAAAAGGTAGCAAAATTTTTAAACAATTTTTTTTTGCAATAATTTGATTTTTTTATTTGCACATTTTTTTTAATTTGGCGTTACTAGTTTTGTATTGTAAGAAGTTAATTGTTAAGTGATTTTCCTTTTTTAGTTTTATTTTTATTGTTTAATCTTTTTTAGTGATTTTTTACAAGTGTCTTTTTTATTTAATTGCTTACAATCTTGAAGTTATTTTTTGATACATTTATTTGTTACTTTTTTTAGTTTTTTCTTATTTATTTTTATTTTTAAGAAATTAACTTGTTTTTTTTCTAATTTTTTCTCAACTTATTAATCGTGTATTTAGTTGTTTTGTTATTTTTTCACACTTTACAGGATTGTTTCCATTTATGTACTACTCTTTGGTGTTTCCGTTTATTTATTTGTTTTTTATTTTTTTCGATGTTTATTTTTTCACACTTTACAGGATTGTTTCCATTTATGTACTACTCTTTGCTGTTTCCATTTATGTCACTTTAATACACTTTGATTAAGAATTTCATGCTTTTTATAATATTTTTATATTTTTGTCTGACTATATTTTACAAGATTTTTGAGATGATACTGAAGATTCTAAAACAGTGTACGTAAAATCTTTTTTTAGTTTTATTTTCCTCTTTCTCCTTTTTATTTTTCCAATTTTCAAATTAATTTTTTATTTATGCTATAATTTTGAAGGTTTATTTAACAGTAGATAATTTGTTTATGTATTTAATGTGCTACCCGTCCGTTCTGGCAAGTTAAGCAACGTTGGCAACAACTTTATTTGTTTCCACATTTTTCTAGTAGGTTTTGATTTTTATCTTCAAATTTTTTAGCACTTTTTCTGCTATTATTATTAATTTTTCGGCTCTTATTTTTAGTGGTGTTTTAAAATATTTTCTGAAAAATGTTTTAAAACTCCACTATATACTACTATTGACTTATTCAAAATTTGTATTGCCTGGACTTAGTAATAATTTTTTTCAATGTGGCTCACTCAAAGCGATTTTTATCGCTGAGTTTAGATGAATCTAAGATTGTCATATGTCATTCGAAAGTACATTAATTGTTGTATCTAAAACCAGATGGCTATTATGTGTGGATTGACTTATTCAAAATTTGTATTGCCTGGACTTAGTAATGGGTATTTTTTCAATGTGGCTCACTCAAAGCGATTTTTATCGCTGAGTTTAGATGACATCTAAGATTGTCATATGTCATTCGAAAGTACATTAATTGATGTATCTAAAACCAGGTGGCTATCATGTGTGGATTGGCTTATTCAAAAGTTGAATGGCCTGGACTTGGTAATTGGTATTTTCTCAAGGTGACTCACTCAAAGTGATTTTTATGCTGAGTTGAATTGACATCTAAGATTGTCATATATCATTCGAACGTGCATCATTTGATGTATCTAAAACCAGTGGGCTAATGTGTGTGGCTTGACTTATTTCAAAAGTTGAATGGCCTGGACTTAGTAATGGGTATTTTCTCAAGGTGACTCACTCAAAGTGATTTTTTTCGCTGAGTTTAATTGACATCTATGATTGTCATATATCATTCGAACGTGCATCATTTGATGTATCTAAAACCAGTGGGCTAATGTGTGTGGATTGACTTATTCAAAAGTTGTATGGCCTGGACTTAGTAATGGATATTTTCTCAATAAAATATTTATTTCATTTTCGACTCGAAATCTCTAGAATAAGGGCTTGAAATAAAACGAGTCATAGGTATTATATACAGTATTTAATGCTCTATCGAATGCGATACTGCAGATCCATCAGTGATTTTATACCACGACTATTTTTCCTTCCAAAATTAAATGTTTTTAAACTTTAATATTGAATTGTAAATTTGTTTTATAAATATTCTGGCCGACTAGAACAAGATTCGATATATTTTTACCAACTTTATTGACAAAAATTGTAAAAATCTGGTTTCTTGGCATTCCTGAAAAAGGAATGCTGAAAAAGGAAGAGATCTGGTGGGCTGTTCTTCCAAAATTTACAAAATTCTCGCCTGCGGCGCAGGAAAGGTATTTAGATTCAGATGGATATCAGTATATTAAAATGTGAAAAGTTTGGTGGAAAAGTTAAAAATCCCATGGAAAAAGATGAAAAAGGACATGGCAAGATTTTTCTGAATTAATCCGATTGGGACCCGGACTCAATCAAGCCCTGCTACCAGCCCTGCCCTGCTACCAGCCATGAAAGAATCTATATGAATAATTTTATCTTTTTATTTATAATAAGTTTAGCTATTTTTAAGTTTCTAAAAATTAACTGACTTTAAATAATATCAAAATAAAATTTATATGAAAATTTATTAAAATTTAAATCTATATAAAATTATGAATTAATTTTAAAAATTAATTTAAATAACAATTCTATCAATTTTCTTTTCTAAGCTAGATAAATGTAAATGGTAGTTTGTAGCATTAATTAGATTATTCTTCAGACCTTCTCCAGTCTTCAGCGTCCTCCTATAACACTTTGTATTCCCCCACCTCCATATAAACCCCCACCTCCTGATACAAACGAAGATCCAGAATGTCCATAGCCGCCACCAATTACGCTTTGAATTCCACCGCCTCCAGCACCGCCTCCGCCAGAAACAAAGCTAGAAGCTGCTGGTGCAACCTTTTTTTAAAGAGTTTATTTGAATCTTAATTGAATTACTGACTAAGATTCTCCCTAAAATGGCTCTTGATTTAAGGATTGCTCGATGTAATGAATTTGAATTCGGTCTTAATTTCCCAGTCCTATACTTATCATTAATATATACCGGAGCATAATAAGGATAATAATAGGCTGGAGCAGCTACAACGGGAGCAGCAGCAACCACCGGTACTGCATCGCCTCCCTTTACTCGCATACTTAAGATTAAATTATTATTATCATTCCTCATAAAGATTCACCGGTCAGCAGGAGGTGGAGGTGCAGAAACCACAATTTGTGCAATTAAAGCAGCTACAATTAAAAAAAAGGCTGCCCCAGCAAGCTCCAGCTTCGTTTCTGGAGGTGGCGCAAGTGGAGGAGGAGGAATCCAAAGCGTAATTGGTGGAGGATATGGCCTTTCTGGATCTTCCTTTGTTGCTGGTGGAGGCGGCAGTGGGGGAGGTATTCAAAGCGTTATTGGAGGTGGATCTTCATTTGTAGCTGGAGGAGGTGGATATGGACATGGAGGATACGGTTATGGTGGATATGGATATGGACGTTAAATTATTTAGAATGAAATGATCAAAATATTTATTTAAAATGATGTAGAAAACAAAAATTTTCTAAAATTCACAAATATTTAATTGTATTTTAAAATATTAAATTTTTTCAAAAATTTTAAATCACTTAAAAATCTGTAAAATATGTATGACATGTATCACAACGTACTCATGTTTTGTAAAGACTACGTAAGGAAGCTGCCTATGGCTCTGGGTTCGGGACCTACACTTACGGTCTGGTAATCTAAGTGAGAACTTGATTCTATTACTCACCAGCAATCAAGGTTATCTGATCCAATTCCTAATACACCATCAACAGATGGACAAATAAGCAAAGGGAGAAAAAGATGAATAGAAAAGTTCGGGTTATTCGTAGCTTTGCCAAAATCAGCCAATACGAATCCTAATTTCGAGCATCTACAACAACGGCAAATGACTTTTCTCCAAATTTTCAATTTCTCCAACTTTTCTTTTTGCCAATTCGTCATCGATTTTCGGGTTATTTTTCCCAAAATTTGAAGATTTAGAAAAATATTTTCTATTTGAAACATTTGAATTTTTTCGATTTTTAGAAACTTTTTTGCTTAGAAACAACTTTGACTGTGAGTCAGGTGTCTATTCTTGCTTTCGAAGAAGGCGGGAAAAACTTAAAAGTATTAAAAAAATAACTATAAATTGGCAAATAAAAAATAAAATGCGAATAAATTTTATAAGATAAAAGTACGTGAATAGAATGTCTGTAAGATAACATTGATAATAATAGTTTGGAACCCCCCCCCCCCCCCACTTTTTTTCCTTTCTATTTTTCCCTAGTTTTTTCCCATTTTATGGCAAATTAGATATCATTCGAAAGAGCTCTTCGAGCTAAGTCGAATGACATTAAAATGAAAAAAAGCTTTTCCCAACGAGGATTTAGCTTCATAATTTTTGTAAAAATGATCAGATCTAGCCAATCATGGTATCATTCGACCAAACTCGAAGAGCTCTTTCGAATGATATATGATAAATTATGTAGCAAACAAAAAAGCTCAGAATGGTCAGGGAAACAGTGAAAAAAAGGAGGGGGGCGAATTCCAAACTATTACCAAAATATTTAAAAAATGCACATAAAACAAGGGCTCTCATCGGAGAAAAGAAATTTTATGCATGTTCAAATCTCATATATGTATTTTTCTCACGCGTCTTTTTCAGCATGTGTGAGAGAGAAAACAAAAAAGATTTTTTTTCAATTTTTAGCCCCGCAGGCGAAAATTTCCAAAATTTTAAGGAAAATTTAATTTTTTTAACCAAAAAATTTTAATTTTTTAAAGCACAAAGTTCCAAAATAAATTCGAATGAGAGCCCTGCATAAAACAAAAATAATTTAATCGAAAGTCAATGAGAAACTATTCACAAAAAGAAACTTATGGTTTAGGTATCCTTTTTTAGCCACGTCCTTTTTTCCGTTTTCCATAGTTTTTCAATTCAGCTGAAGATGTAGAAAAGGTTAGTGAAGAAATAGATTAACTCATCGATCTGAGTTTAATGACACCAGAATCTGTCCTTGATCTCTGGGAAGAATTACATGGGTCAAAATGTCATTTTGAGACAAATGATTCTAAACACAGAATTACCGGAATAACTAAAAATACCGGGACCATTATTTCAAAATGAAAAAGGAAAAAGAGGCGTGTCCAAAAAAGGATACCTAAACCATATAAAATCTCATAAAAATATAAATTTCATTAAGCAAGAAATTGATGAGGAATTGTTTCGTCATCATCAAATAATAACCTGATCAGTTCTGGGTTAAATCTATAACCACAATAAAGATGTTTAAAAGCACAACCAGATAAATGTTCAAACCAACAACGAAGTGTAACAAGATCCTTGATATTTTTTGGAAAAGCTGGCAAATCCAAGAGAAGATGGATTTCATTTTCGATTTTTTCAAGTCTGACAAGAATTGGTCTCTGTTTTGTTGAATGATGTAAATACAAATGAATTGATGTAGCTAATGCTGCATTCCACTGAAAAAAATTAAATGTAATTTTATTAAGAATTAGTTCAACCTTCTTTCTAAGTTGATCATTTAATGTAAATCTAAAAAGTCCAGATTGAAGGTTAATCATTTTAGCGCTTTGAAAGACTTTATCACTGAGTATTACATTTACAAGTCGATTGAATTTCTTCTTTGCCAATTGTTCTTCATGTTTATTAATTAAATTGCAAAAGTAAAAATTGGTTTGTCTTTGAGAAAACAATTGGTTGAAATTAAGGCATTTTAATATATCAAGTCGAACATCATTTGGAAGAGAAAACATTGGATCCTTTACCTAAAAAAGAGTAAATAAAAAATTATAGAATTTATTATTTAAAAGTGGAAAAATTGGATTCTCTCAAATAACCATTGCATTTATATAATTTATTTGTAAGTTTTGAGCAGCGCCATACTCCTTTTTTTTTAAAATTATATGTGAATTGGCCGTGTATGATACTCCTATTGCTTTTCGTAGTTGGGGCAAAGAAAACCCATTCATTTAGTCTAAAATAGAAAAAATAAGCTCGCCAACCGAAAGCCAAAAAAACCTCTCAACACATTCCTTGCGACGTTCAACCAAAAAAGAATCAAAGCATTCCAAGGCATATTTTGAATCAAAACGGATGGAATATTTAGCTTCATATTCGGCATGGTCAATAGAATACAATCAGTTGGTAGTTTTAAAAGAATTTTTTGTCCTGGAAGAGCAGATACATAGTAAAGCTGAAAAATTGAAAGGAAAATTATAGAGGCGAAAAAAATTAGGTAAATCAATAAAAAAAAAGCTAAACTACTATCAATAAATACGAAAAATGAGCCGGTCTATGGATTCGGAAAATAAAGATGCAGATAGAATAAATGAAAAATCCAGATCAGGGTAAAGGTATCGCTCATTACCCCATGAAAAAACATGTTTTGCGAATGCAATAAAATGCTCTGATTATGTATGAATGAAATATCAGATGAGCTCTTTCGAATAAGCTAGTACTTCCAAATTCAAATTTTTGACCCCAAAAATCGGGTTGGTCTTCTCGACGGGCTTTCAATTTTCAGGGGTTTGCAAATCTCGGAGAAAAAGTATCTATTACCAATACTATCCTTATTGGCTTTTTTTGATATTAGGTATCGCCGTATCATTATATACATGATAAATGTTTTTGAAGGGTTGATAAGCGATACACTAGCCGAGATCAGCCTCTAAAAACACTATCTAACAATAAAAATAACACCACAAAATAAAAAAAAATACAATTGGGATGGCAGTCCGACATTGTGGGCATTGTTTTTTTTCTCTAATCACGCGGATACGCAGTGAACATTCCATACAGATCTATAAAATAAATTAGAAACAATTCCAATTAAAACAAAAAATAAACCGGATGCATGCACTCCCCAAGTCCAAAAAGATCAGAACGTTGACAACAAATTAAGCAATCGCTGATTTCCCCAATCGTTGGAATTCCAGCATGGTCTGTACGTTCCTAAAAAATTAAAAAAAATAACTGAAAGTTCAAAAGAAATTTTGAAGTAAACTGGACAGATAATAGAGGATGAGCCCAAGAAGTATGGGAAGGTCTGAGGACTCACTAGAATAATAGGAAAATTTGCCAGAAAAAAACGGCGCGCGGAAAAAACGGCGCGAAAAAACGGCGCGCGGCCATAACGGCGTAAAGCCATAACTTGCCTCAAAATTTCTGAATCTTAACAAATTTAGTGTTAAACGATTCCACTCATCGAGCTTAAGAGTTCGATTCCAAAATTGATAAACGCCAGAAATTTTCCAGCAGTTATGGCTTTGCGCCGTTATGGCCGCGCGCCGTTTTGGGTATGTCCCATTTTCAAAAACCCGACTTTGGTTAAGGACTTTGAGTCATTGAAATTAAGGAACAATGAAAACTCGATTCTGGTTACAGAAAATCGAGTCAAGGATTCAGATCCATTCAGATCTATGACAAAACACTTAAAAAATAATAACTGAGTTTGGAGCAGGTTGTTGCTGGTTGTTACCATGAGAAGTTTGTCCTGATTGTTTGTTGTTTTGATCGCCTTCATGTTGATTCGTCTAAATTTTGAAATTCTACATTTATCAAGCTAAATAAATTAAAAACCTTTTGATTATTTTCTTTAGTCAAATTTTGCTGATCTTGAGTATTTTGTTGTTTGGCTTTGCTTCGAGTGATCATATTTTTAAAATCAATTTTCCTAAACAGTTAAAAAAACTATAATTTAAACAATTTTGAAAATTTTTACAAAAAACAAGATTTTAGTAGTTCCTGACTTCGAAAAAGGCGGGAAAAACTTAAAAGTATTAAAAAAATAACAATTAATTGGCACATACGAAAAAAAAATGCGAATAAATTTTATAAGACAAAAATATGTGAATAGGATGTCTATAAGATAACATTGATAATAATAGTTTGGAATTCCCCCCCCCCCTTTTTTTTCCTTTCTATTTTTCCCTAGTTTTTTCCCATTTTATGGCAAATTAGATATCATTCGAAAGAGCTCTTCGAGCTAAGTCGAATGACATTAGAATGAAAAAAAAGCTTTTCCCAACGAGGATTTAGCTTCATAATTTTTTGTAAAAATGATCAGATCTAGCCAATCATGATATCATTCGACCAAGCTCGAAAAGCTCTTTCGAATGATAAATTATATATCAAACAAAGAAGCTCAAAATGGTCAGGGAAACAGTGAAAAAAAGGGAAGGGCGAATTCCAAACTATTGCCAAAATATTTTGAAAAAATAAAATGCAAATAAATTAGGTAAACAAATGCACATAAAACAAGAGCTCTCATCGGAGAAAAGAAATTTTATGCATGTTCAAATCTCATATATGTATTTTTCTCACGCGTCTTTTTCAGCATGTGTGAGAGAGAAAACAAAAAAGATTTTTTTTCAATTTTTAGCCCCGCAGGCGAAAATTTCCAAAATTTTAAGGAAAATTTAATTTTTTTAACCAAAAAATTTTAATTTTTTAAAGCACAAAGTTCCAAAATAAATTCGAATGAGAGCCCTGCATAAAACAAAAATAATTTAATCGAAAGTCAATGAGAAACTATTCACAAAAAGAAACTTATGGTTTAGGTATCCTTTTTTAGCCACGTCCTTTTTTCCGTTTTCCATAGTTTTTCAATTCAGCTGAAGATGTAGAAAAGGTTAGTGAAGAAATAGATTAACTCATCGAGCTGAGTTTAATGACACCAGAATCTGTCCTTGATCTCTGGGAAGAAGTACAGGAGTCAAAATGTCATTTTGAGACAAATATGATTCTAAACACAGAATTACCGGAAAACACTAAAAATACCGGGACCATTATTTAAAAATGAAAAAGGAAAAAGGGGCGTGTCCAAAAAAGGATACCTAAACCATATAAGATCTCATAAAAATATAAATTTCATTAAGCAAGAAATTGATGAGGAATTGTTTCGTCATCATCAAATAATAACCTGATCAGTTCTGGATTAAATCTATACCCACCATAAGGATATTTAAAAGCACATCCAAATATATGTGTAAACCAACAACGAAGTGTAACAAGATCCTTGATATTTTTTGGAAAGGCTGGAAAATTTAAGAGAAGATGGACTTCATCCTCGATTTTTTCAAGTCTGATAAGAATTGGCCACTGATTTATTGAATGATGTAAATACAACTGAATTGATTTAGCTAATGCTGCATTCCACTGAAAAAAATTAAATGTAATTTTATTAAAAATTAGTTCAACCTTCTTCCTAAGTTGATCATTTAATGTAAATTTAAAAAGTCCAGATTGAAGGTTAATCATTTTAGCGCTTTGAAAGACTTTATCACTGAGTATTACATTTACAAGTCGATTGAATTTCTTCTTTGCCAATTGTTCTTCATGTTTATTAATTAAATTGCAAAAGTAAAAATTGGTTTGTCTTTGAGAAAACAATTGGTTGAAATTAAGGCATTTTAATATATCAAGTCGAACATCATTTGGAAGAGAAAACATTGGATCCTTTACCTAAAAAAGAGTAAATAAAAAATTATAGAATTTATTATTTAAAAGTGGAAAAATTGGAAGATTACTCAAATTTCATTTATAAAATTTCAAGCACGCAAAAATGAGGTCTGCACTTTTATTCCGCAAAGTTCGGGTACGCGAAATGCTGTTCCGCAAAGTTCGCGCCACAAAATTAAGCATTAAAAATAAGAACAATTTTTCTACTACTCACTGGCAAATAATCATAATGTTGTTGTTCAATTGCTGTAGAGGTAGAAGGAATGCATGAAATTGTTTGATTAATTTGAGGAGCTTTCACCAAAACCTAAAAAATTAAATTTAATTAAATCTATAAATATTATATACTTTAAAAGGTGATCCAGGATCGGAGTACCAATAAAATTAACATTTATTGTGTAAAGACCAGGTGATTGGACTGTGTATCTGAATTGGAAAGTTTTAAGTTGTTTTAATTAAAATTAGTATAAGCGAAAAAAAAAACGAACTCGACTTGATAATTGTTTTCACGTAGATGCTGTACAGTTCGAACTTCAGCCTTTTTGGGTCCATCAATTAATACGGTTAATTTTCCACCACCCAAATTTTTTGTATAGCTAACAGTAAATTTATTTGGGCGGGCAAGTACGCCAACAGTCAATCCTGGACCATCCACCCAAGCCATAAAAACACGTTTATCAGCTAAAAATTTGGAAAAACACAAAGTTACATGAGTAAAAAATTGTCAGAATGTTGAGTTAAAAACTCTATTATACAATGAAAAGGCCAAAACGTGGAAAGGTCAAGACACAAACAGAAAAAATGAGGTCGGACAAAACGCGGTATTACAGGTGTTACGACAAATTCTCGTTTTGTTCTCCGAGGGGAGAGGCATAAGTGCCGCAAAACTTTTTTTCAAAAATTAAAAAAATCATACAATTTTTCATTGCAAGATTTGGTGGAACATCCTGATCAATATATTCCAATCGTTTTATCTTTAAAATGTTAGAATTATTATTAAAAAAGCTAAAAAGAAAATAATTCAGAGGTCCCCGGTACTTCAACAAAGCTTAATTTATAAAACATTAGTCGCAAAAGGCTGGATCTCAGAGGGAGGGGGAGGCAAACCCGAAATTTGTAAATTTTGGATTCGAAAAGTTGAACAAAAAATTAAAATTTCTCGAAAATATAAAATTTTTTTGCAGATATTTTTAATGTTTGAATACGCCTCGTAGCACAGAAATCTTACCAAATCACACGTGTGATCAGCACACAAAATGTAATTGTTTTGAAATTCTCTTAAATAACCATTGCATTTATATAATTTATTTGAAATTTTTGAGCAGCTCCATACTCCTTTTTTTTTTAAATTATATGTGAATTGGCCGTGTATGATGCTAGTTTTGCTTTTCGTATTTGGGTCAAAAAAGACCCATTCATTTAGTCTAAAATAGAAAAGATAAGCTCGACAACCGAAAACCAAAAAAACCTCTCAACACATTCCTTGCGACGTTCAACCAAAAAAGAATCAAAGCATTCCAAGGCATATTTTGAATCAAAACGGACAGAAAATTTAGCCTCGTATTCGGTATGGTCAATACAATTTGATGGCAGCTTTAAAAGATGTTTTTGACCTTGAGGAGCAGATACATAGTAAAGCTGAAAAATTGAAAGGAAAATTATAAAAGCGAAAAGCAATGGGGTAAATCAATAGAAAAAAGCTAAACTACTATCAATAAATACGAAAAATGAGCCGGTCTATGGATTCGGAAAATAAAAATGCAAATAGAAAAAATGAAAAATCCAGATCAGGGTAAAGGTATCGCTCATTACCCCATAAAATGCTCTGATTAAGAGAGAAATATCAGATGAGCTCTTTCGAATAAGCTAGTACTTCCAAATTCAAATTTTTGACCCCAAAAAATCGGGCTGGTCTTCTCGACGGATTTTCAATTTCCAGGGGTTTGCAAATCTTGGGGAAAAGCTTGCTATCCGTATTGGCACATTTTAAGTATCGTCGTATCATTTTAAACATTACAAATGTTTTTTAATGGGTTGATAAGCGATACCCTAACCGAGATTGGCCTCTAAAACACACTGTTTAACAGTAAAAATGGATATACAGATGGTAAGGTTCCGATAAAAAAAACCCATACCATTCGATTTGTCTCAACGAGTTGAGTCGAACGGTACCATTCTTTTTTAAGGAGATGCCAGTGGACCGTGAACTAGGTCCCCGAAAATTGAAAAACCATAGGGGGAGTATGAGCAATTATTTGTATAAAATTTTTTTATTCAAAAATCGCCCCTTTGGATCTTCTTATTTTAAGGCCTATATCTCAGTCCAATCAAATCGGATTTTAATGATTTTTATGTCATTAGACTTACAATCAGCCCGATAAGCTCTTTCGAAAGAGCTATTATTCAGGAAATCGGATTTTCACCCCAAAATGGAGTTTACTCCCACCTACGGTTTTTCGATTTTTGGGGCCTATATCACGCCCCACAAGCATCTCCGAAAAAAGAGTGGGACCGTTCGACTCAGCTCGTCGAGACGAATCGAATGGTATGGGTTTTTATCGGAACCAAAACTCGGGGATACTAAACTACAGCCATAAAAATAACACCACAAAATAAATTATAAAAAAATACAATTGGGATGTCAGTCCGACAGTGTGGGCATTGCTTTTTTTCTCTAATCACGCGGATACGCAGTGAACATTCCATACAGATCTATAAAATAAATTAGAAACAATTCCAATTAAAACAAAAAATAAACCGGATGCATGCACTCCCCAAGTCCAAAAAGATCAGAACGTTGACAACAAATTAAGCAATCGCTGATTTCCCCAATCGTTGGAATTCCAGCATGGTCTGTACGTTCCTAAAAAATTAAAAAAAATAACTGAAAGTTCAAAAGAAATTTTGAAGTAAACTGGACAGATAATAGAGGATGAGCCCAAGAAGTATGGGAAGGTCTGAGGACTCACTAGAATAATAGGAAAATTTGCCAGAAAAAACGGCGCGCGGCCATAATGGCGTAAAGCCATAACTTGCCTCAAAATTTCTGAATCTTAACAAATTTAGTGTTAAACGATTCCACTCATCGAGCTTAAGAGTTCGATTCCAAAATTGATAAACGCCAGAAATTTTCCAGCAGTTATGGCTTTGCGCCGTTATGGCCGCGCGCCTACTTGGGCGTGTCCCATTTTCAAAAACCTCTGACTTTGTTAAGGACCTTGACTTTGAGTCAAGGAAAAATCAGGAAACAATGAAAACTCGATTCTGGTTACAGAAAATCGAGTCAAGGATTCAGATCCATTCAGATCTGTGAAAAAACACTTAAAAAATAATAACTGAGTTTGGAGCAGGTTGTTGCTGGTTGTTACCATGAGAAGTTTGTCCTGTTTGTTGGTTGTTTTGATTGCCTGGCTGTTGATTCGTCTAAATTTTGAAATTCTACATTTATCAAGCTAAATAAATTAAAAACCTTTTGATTATTTTCTTTAGTCAAATTTTGCTGATCTTGAATATTTTGTTGTTTGGCTTTGCTTCGAGTGATCATATTTTTAAAATCAATTTTCCTAAACAGTTAAAAAAACTATAATTTTACTAGTTCTTGACTTCGAAAGGCGGGAAAAACTTAAAAGTATTAAAAAAATAGCAATAAATTGGCAAATAAAAAATAAAATGCGAATAAATTTTATAAGATGAAAATATGTAAATAGAAGTCCATAAGAAAATATTGGTAATAGTTTGAAAGTCGCCCCCCTTTTTTCCTTTCTATTTTTCCCTAGTTTTTCCCATTTTATGGCAAATTCGAAAAAGCTCACATCGATTGGCACAAAAAGTACACAACGAGGATTTAGCGTTAAAATTTTTGTAAAAATGATCAGATCTAGCCAATCATGGTATATCAAACAAAAAAACTCAAAATGGTCAGGGAAACAGTGAAAAAAGGGGCTAATTTCAAACTATTACAACATATTTAAAAAATTAAAATGCACATAAATTATATAAAATAAGGGCTCTCATCGGAAAAAATAAATTTTATGCATACTCAAATCTTTAAATTTTTCTCACACGTCTTTTTCAGCGCGGAAGGTGAAAATTTTTAAAATCTAGAAGGCAAATATCTAAGCCAGATTTTTTTCAATTTTTAGCCCCACAGCAAAAATTTTCGAAATTTTAAGGAAAATTTAAATTTTTTTAAACAAAAAATTTTTAATTTTGTAAGCACAAAGGTAGGTGAATTTCAAAATAATTCGAATGAGAGCCCTGCATAAAACAAAAATAATTTAATCGAAAGTCAATGAGAAACTTTCACAAAAAGGAACTTATGGTTTAGGTACCCCTTTTTTAGCCACGTCCTCTTTTCCCTTTTCCATACAGTTCCTTTTACTTCTCCTTCTCACCCATCAATCAATTCAGCTAAGGATGAGAAATAGATAACTCATCGAGCTGAGTTTAATGACACCAGACTCTGTCCTTAATCTCTGGGAGAATTACATGGGTCAAAATGTCATTTTGAGATAAATATGATTCTAAACACAGAATTACCGGAAAACACTAAAAATACCAGACCATTATTTCAAAAACACAGCCCTGGGTATTGATTCAAATGGTAATTTTTATTTTGGTGAGAAAGAAAGAAAAACTGATCTTTTCTTTATTAATCTTTCTCATTGAACATGCCACAAAGAAAATTTGGGTAAAATCGAGGAAGAAAGAAGGCAAACCGATCTGTACATATTAAGTTTGATTGATAATGGAAAAGGAAAAAGGGGCGTGTCCAAAAAAGGATACCTAAACCATATAAGATCTCATAAAAATATAAATTTCATTAAGCAAGAAATTGATGAGGAATTGTTTCGTCATCATCAAATAATAACCTGATCAGTTCTGGATTGAATCTATAACCAACGTAAGGATATTCAAAAGCACAACCAAATAAGTGTTCAAACCAACAACGAAGTGTAACAAGATCCTTGATATTTTTTGGAAAAGCTGGCAAAACCAAGAGAAGATTCTTTTCATCCTCTTCTATTGTTTCAAGTCTGATGAGAATTGGCCTCTCTTCTATTGAATGCTCTAAATACAACTGGATTGATTTAGCTAATGCTGCATTCCACTGAAAAAATGTAATTTAATAAAAAAGTAGTTAGTCAACCTTCTTCCTAAGTTGATCATTTAACGTAAATTCAAAAAGTCCAGATTGTCTAATAAATTCATCATTATTGCGATAGACATTGCCACTAAGTTTTAAAGTTACAAGTCGATTGAATTTCTTCTTTGCCAATTGTTCTTCATATTTATTGATTAAATTGCAAAAGTAAAAATTGGTTTGTCTTTGAGAAAACAATTGGTTGAAATTAAGGCATTTTAATATATCAAGTCGAACTTCATTTGGAAGAGAAAACATTGGATCCTTTACCTAAAAAAGAGTAAATAAAAAATTAAAATCTCCTAAAATTTATTTTTAAAAGTTGAAAAATTGGAAGATTAGGTAAAATTGTGTTTGACGGAAAAAACTTGGGGAGATCAAGCTGGTTTGTGGGGTAAAAACTTCGATTGTACAAATGTTAGCTTATTCGAAAGGCTGAAATACATCAAACAAAATCTCCATGATTGAACGTGTTATAACCATTTGTTTTTAACCCCGCGAAAAACAACCGCCGACTGATTCGTGCGTCATTCGACTCAGCTCGTCAAGCTTTCGAATGACATATATAAAATCGGATCAAAGTCCGGGCCCTCAAACAGAATTTTTCCAAAGTTTGGCTAAACTATGCCCCCTGGGGATTTTAGTTTTTTAGAGTCAATCGAAATAGCACATCAAGCTGAGCCGACTAACACAAAATTTTTTCGGAGAAACAACATTAGGCCAAAATCATACTCCTAAAAATAAAACCCATAGAGGGACAATGTGAGTAGTTACCCCCCCCCCCCCCCCAATTTGTTGCACA